TGGCTGTGCCAGCATTCATCCCTCTGAGCCAGGCTGAAGACCCCTGACCCGAAGGGGAACTGCTAAGGTGAGCCTCACTCAGAGGTGTGGCTCGAGCAGGTGAGACCCCAGCAGGGCAGCAGCTGCAGAGGACACCCTGGGATGGGGCAGGGCTGCGGTCCCAGCTGGCAGCTGATAGCTGAGCTGTGTGCTGCCTGAGAGCCCCGGAGCACGGGGGTGAGCAACCTCCGCCCGCCCTACCTGTCAGCCTCCCTGGGCCCTGCATGGGGCAGAGGAGCCAGGGGCCCAGGGATCCACTTGTTTCCATTATCTTCGCCATCCCTGACCGCTGCCACCCTGCTCTTTCAGGCTGAGTGATGGAGGACAGCACTGAGGGTCTCCTTATTGGGGAATCTTCCCCAAAGAGCAGTGACAGTGTAAGGAAATGAGCTCTCGGCCGCGATCTGAGCACACGCAGGAGAAGCAGCGATCAGGGCTGCACGGGGGTTTGAGATACACAGCGGTGGAGCAGAGCAGCAAGCTGGACATCGTACCCTGCAAACTGTCTGAAGACGGAGCCAGCACAGGGTCCTGACTTCATTCATTCCTTCATTCCACTGGCTGCTGGCTCCAAGCCAGACTGTTTGCTTGGCCCAAGGATACAAAGAGAGGCTACAAATGTCCTTACCTCGTTAAAGTAGAAACTTGGTCCCACCAGGCTCCACCCGGAATCTTCTCTCTCATTGGGAACATCTCCTGCCCCTCAGGAACCAGCCATCCTCCACAGATGAGCTCCGTGTTCAGACTCCCTCCTGGCCATGGGCTGCCCCTCAAAGGAACAGCTAAGGGCCCATTTCTTGCCCAAACGGAGCTCTGTATATGTTCTGAGAATCAGTGTGGATGTGTCTACCCTGGAACAAGTCTCTCTGTGGGAGCTGGGGCTCCAGCAGTGGGGGGTGGGGCAGACCTCAGGGGGACAGCGTCACGGGTGCCCCATAGGGGAGGAGTATCCGCAGGTGTGAAGAGCCAAATCCCATGGCAGGGGTGCAGATGAGGAGGTGACAGCCTATAGGACCCAGGCTGGTTCATATCTAGTGTGACAGTTGAGTGAACGGAAGAGTTGAAACAGAGGATAGTCATTAACTCCCTTCACAGCCACTATGGATAGGATCTCTGCTGTTTGAATATCAAAATGTCTGCTAGAGGTGTTTTTCAGGAACTTGGAGTGAGCATGGACAGGAGTTTGATTGGTGAACTCGGACATCAGTTGGCTGAAAACTCCATCCCCGCATTATGCTAATGTCACCATTTTCTGAGCTTGAGTCCTGAGAGGCAGCAGGAAGCTCAGAGGAACCTGCTGCTGATCATCTTCCCTTGCATCTCCCACTGCCCTATGCTCTTTATTCATAAAATCCCAAGACCCTCCCCTTTGGGGAGGCGGAGCTGAGATTTGTTCTCCTCCCTCCTCGCTTGATTGCGTTGTGAATGAAGCTTTGCCCTGTTGCAAACTAGGATTTTTAGTGTTTGGTTGCTGTGCATTGGGAAATTAGACCTGGCTCTAACAAATCTGGCAAATCAGCCAGGATAATGGAGTTTTTATGGCGACTTGACTAGGTAAAAGAGACAGTGAGGTCCAGGTGACTGGCAAAGTCAGAAGACATGGTCACTGGGGACAGGGACAAGGAACCAAGTTCAGGGATCTGATTTGTGGAACCGGGCAGAGCACAGGCACAAGAGCTCAGAGAGGCTGCGTGGTATGGGAACAGGCACCCACTGTTCACGCCACACTCTGGGCAGGGCGGGGCTGACACCAGGCTGCTGTGAGGTCCAGGAACTGAGACTGTGGTTTAGGGCAGGGATGCTCCACCAGGGCTGCACCTGAGGATGACCTGGGGGCATTCAACCTTCTCCGTCAGGTTGTACCCAGACCCCTTAAATCAGAATCTCTGGGGGTGAGCCTGACATCAGGAATTTAAAATCTCCAGGAGTTTTTTCATGCAGCCAAGGTTGAGAACAGCAGATTTAGGACTCCTTCCATCCCTCTGAAGAAGCCAGCTGGGGTGCTGCTCATAAGAAGGAACAGAGGATGAAAAGGGTCCCTTTCTACAAATGGGAGGACTCCGTCCAGGGCCAAGCAGGCTTGCCTTGAGGGTGACTGTGAAATATCATGAGTTTCCCAGGGGACAAAGGACAGGAGACTCTTGACAGTGACCTGCATTGACTCTTGACGGGTCCTCTCGTGGTCACACAGCCTCCTGTGAGATGTGAGGACTAGGGGTAGATTGGGTGTAAGAATTAAGAAGTAAAGGAAGTTGGAGCTTAAAAAAATCTTTTTGAAAGCACCGCTCCCCGCACTTCATTGCCAGGGCACCTGGTTGACAGTGTTGCACGGGGGTGGCCAGCAGACCAATAAAACCTCTGTCCCCTCTCCTTTGACCAGTGGATCCACATTTATACCAAAAGTGTTTAAAAGGGAGCCACTCATCTTATTTTCCTTGGATCTTCTTGCTTAAGCACTACTGTATCCCAAGAGTCTCACCCTGACTTCAGACAGCAGGCTACAGGGGCCCTGGTGTCTAGGTTCCCATGACAACCACCAGGGCAGCAGACTGGATGGAGACTGAGGCAGGAGACCAAGCCTAGTGCAGCAGCCAAGGTGGGTCCTACCTGCCTTGATCCCCTGCACACAGGATTTTAGAGACTGTCCTTGTCTCAGGTCAGTGTCTGGTCAGTTGTTTATTATGGTCTCTAGGGGCAAAAACAGATGGGGAAGAGAAGACCTCAGGTTTACTCAGGACTGGGTAGAGATCCTGATGTACAAATGCATATGGGCCTTTGTGGTGTGTGTGTGTGTGTGTGTGTGTGTGTGTGTGTGTGTGTCCAGGGTGGACTGGATAACATCTTCTAGCACCGACTGAGGAGCTGGGTTAGCACCTCTCATGTTCACTCTCCAATGTGTGAGCGTCAGTGTGACGTCCCCGCCTGCAGGAGAAATGGAAAAGGAAATACTTCCAGTGAGGAAGGGCCCCTCGTGGCTGGGAGTCGCAGGACCCAGTTCTAAAGGGATGTCCACTTCAGGAAGAGATTCCTGGAAGGGAAGCCAGTCCTGCTTTGACTTATTTGTGGAGGGAAGGGAAGCTGAGAGAGGGAAGAAGGCTTTGGGGATTTGCCTGCCCTCTTCAGGAGGACGGGCGGGAATTTGCAAACAGGCTGCATCAGCAAAGCCGCGGGCACTGAGCCCACCCCAGGCAGGGGCTTCGCGGGAAGGAGAGCAGTCGGAGGAGCCCAGGGCTGGTCCGTGGACTTGTCCTCCGTTTGTAACTGGGGCTGTAAAGTGCCTGCCTCCCTCCTGTCACACAGGGAAGCAGACTGACTTCATCCCTGGAGATAAGGCTGCTGAGCTGGATTCAGTTTGGCTGTGGGGGAGGCAAACGTTGCCTTCGCCTTCTCGGGGTTTTGTGTGGCTGGACCTGCGACTTCAGTTGACAGAAGACAACTCAACAGGAGAAAAGTACCCAGATTTATTTGATGCAAGTTCACATGACGTGGGAGACTCCATAAGGGAAGAAAACCCCCAAACCTACTTGCTTTCAGATGAGGTTCAACAAAGAGAGGCAGCTGTGGAAAAGTGAGCACCCGCTGTGGGAAGGAGAAGATAGGAATTATTAAATCGGGATCTGTGCGTACAGAAATTTCTGGGTCCTGGTGATAAGAATGTTCCTTCCTTCTGGCACAGAGAGGACAGGTTTCAATGGCATTTTCATCTGCTTTTAGAAAAAGAAAGAAGGAAAGACTATTATTCTTGGATTTTCTCTTTTTCATTCTCCTTTAATTCCAAATAGTCAGTATGCCTGATCGCCATATTTTGGTGTGGCTTGCTCTGAATTAGCTCCAGGCAAAATTAAAAACAGGTTCAAGACTTAAAATGGCTCAGATGTTTAGAATCTAAGTAGTTTTCAAACCTTGGAACCACTCAGGAGCTTCTGGTTGGCCAAGTGCAGGTGGTGGCTTTTCAGACACTTGGAGAAATACTCCTTTGTCTTTAGGTAAAGACGAATGTCCTAGGCATTCAACACAAAGCAATATGGATAACATAGGAAAAAAGCAAAAATCTCACATTGGTTCAAATAAAAGAGTAACGCTTTCAAGGTTCAGAACCACTGACGAAATACCAATGGCTAGTGTGGTGAACCTCTGGGGCCAAGTGGGACCTGGGACCCTGGTGTCTCCCGCAGACAGGACGTGCTGGAAGCGCCAGGAGCCGGCCAACCAGGCAGGGGCTTAAGTACACAGACCTACCCAAAAACTACCAGCTGAAGGAGGCTGATGGAAATCTTCTGCTGGACCTGGGGCCACCCACGGGAAGCGGAAGACAGACCCAGCCCAGGCGCTCCTCGATCTCTGACTAGATCTGCCCTTTCTCCAGTATCTCT